TAAGTTCGTGTGGGTGTGGGTGTGCCAGTGTGTGTGTGCGTGCGTGCGTGCGTGCGTGCGTGCGTGCGTGTGTGGACGTGCGTGGGGGCGTGTGTGTGGACGTGGTGTAAGCGTGTGTGTGCGTGCGTGCGTGCCTGCGTGTGTGCGTGCGTGCGTGCCTGCGAATATAATTTGACCAGAGTAAGCGTCAAAAAAAAATTCTCTGGGAAATTTTATTGCTGTTTATTGTAACAAATAGCAGTATAATGTTAATTTTTCTATAAAAAAATATTACTGTTAGAAATGACGTCTCTAACACACGTAAGACCACAACAACAGGAGATAGACAATAGGATATTCGATTATTTTTCAAGTTGCGAGACAATCGTCAATAAACATTTTTTCGGTGTATCTCGGTATCTGCATGCATGGTCGTTCAATGTACGACCCTTTCTCAGACCTTTCTACGATTCAATTCACTCGCTAGGGTTTAAAAAAATATGTCTTTAAACATGTCCAGATTAATGAACGTTAATTTACAACGAAATAATTTTACAGGAGCTGGTGGGGGGGACTTCCGTCAGGAACCTTCTATTATTCTATATACTATTATTATATATATTATTATTATTTCTATATATTCTTATAAGATATTGCAAATGCACTAGGCTGGGCATAAAAAACGACAAACAAAGACCACGCAGTATCAAACGAACGGCGCCACGAACATTGTACTGTCGTCATGACCTGGGGCCCGTTGTCAGAAACAAAATTGGTCTTAACATTAGTCTTAACATTAACAATTTCTCTTAGACCGTCAACGTCACTTTGTTTCGCATTGTTATATGAGAAAATCTGCTACGATTTTTCATTCTCGTAACTTCGCAGCGTTTCTGTCAACGGTCTAAGAGAAAAAGTTAATGTTAAGACTAATGTTAAGACCAATTTTGTTTCTGACAACGGGCCCCTATAGCTGGCTTCCATGAATGAATTATGATACATCTAGTAATGAATTTTACATCGCTGAACTTTTCATTAACAGCACGATATTTGGTTATTCTTGGTGTTGTGACTCTTATTGTTTGCGTATAGTCATTAATGCTTTATATACTTTGTAGCAACACTGATGTTTCCTAAACAATTTTAGCAACGAAAACAGAGACGGAGAAGGAGATGGAGGCAGAAAGACAGAAAGAAAGAGAGAGGGGAATAGAAGAGAGAGAGAAAGAGAGAACGAGAAGATGTGTGAGTGTGAGTGGGAGGCAGGGGGCCAAAACACAAAAGCATGGATGCACAGAGAAACGTAAACAGCTGGATGGGGGAGAAAATGAGACAGAATGATAGACAATAGCCGAGTCTGCATGGAGAGAGAATGAGAAACAATGTGACACAAACTTACACACAAACAAAGATCGAACGAATGAATGACGGACCGATTGATTAACGGACCGGACCGTCTGCATGACCGCCTGACCGAATGACCAATTGACTGGAATACAGAATGGAAAGGTTCACCCAGTGTGTTAGCTTCAAAGATATTACACGGACCAGATCATAACTAAGTCTAATAACTGCACAGCTATCACAACGAATTTAACAAGCCATATGTTCACAGCAGCTCAGCGCACTTCGCTGGAGGTTTGATTAGAACATGAATATTCATATGATAAGTGACCACTCATTGATGAACAATCCTCGCGTCGATTAATGGATGATCATAGGTCTAGCTAGATGTAATCAGCTGTAGTATTTCACATCATAAATGCCGAGAGCCATCTTGTGAATGGTGAGAGAACATAACTTTTCAGAAGCAATAATGCCTTATATTAAAAAAATATATATAATAAATATGATATAATATTATAATAAATAAATAATATTATAATATTATAATTATATATAATATAATTAAAACCTTACAATAATACTAACCTCAATGTTCTGATAGAGCAAAGTAAGCCGCGGGATAAACATAGTTTATGGACGACCTTTGATTAAGCATGCATGCAGATCACGACATTCCTTTAATTGCATTTAGTTATAGGCCGCTTTTCCGATCGATAAAGTCCAAAAGAGAGCTAGCCAATGAGATGGCATCAAGAGATTGGAGGTCACCAGGCAGCCATGTATCTTTAATCACACGGAAATTGGTTGTCTGCATGGTTCATCAGGTGATTAGTCGTGGCAATGGCTCAGATTTATTCAATGATGTGCAATCATGTATGTATCATTCAACAGTAAGGTCTACAGCGTGGTAAATGGCAAGTTACCATCAGACACACGAGTGTCTACCAAGTCGACAAATACTCAGTAAGTGTTGTGAGCTTAAAAAAAAAACCTTTCAATAAATTGCCGGGATGATATACCGATGCATCATTAATGTGACACGGTAACAACTTATATTACCCATATAGCGTTACGTAGCACGTCATTACGCTGTTTACCTGTTTAGGCTGAGGTCTACTGTGAACGTCTTCTGAAATGCCTCGAATACAAACGATGTTTCAGGCAAATGCCCACTCTGGAAAGAGAGAACAATTCTTCACTTAACAACGTACGATCATATTCAAATGTGTTAAAATCATGAGTTTTCTTTAAGCCATAGCAAGTGATTAATTCACGATACATTTCACAAATTTCAAATAAAATTACTAAATCAACTTTTTCAATCGACTTTTCCACATGAAAAATGAAATGCAACTGCATGAAACGTAATCATTAGTGATTGAAATAAACCTATGATTAAGGGAATCCAACAGACTCCCAACCTAGAAACGAGGCAGTCAGCAGAGAAATGAGGACGTTCGTGGTCCAAAGTTCAAACTTATCATATGGATTTATTATCATTACTATAATTATTATTTATATCATTATTGATCTTTTTGTTAGTGGGAGCATTTGCACATTCAAAACTGGATGGTTAGCCTAACTCCCAGCTGCGGCAGTCACCATTTTACACCAAACCAAGCTAGGCGAGATCATGTGGCACAGGGATGGCAGAGCCATTGAATAAAGCTGGCCAGACACAGACGCGTCAGGGCTATTTCACGACAAGGCGCTTCAGCTTGTTCGCATGCCGGTGCAGGTTATAGATCTGCCTATTCACACGGAGCCAAACACACTGACGATACAGCATCAGCAATGTCGGTTTGTCCCGTGCTTGAGTAATGAATGTGCATTACTTTGACCGTGTTTAAATTGAGCTATGGCGAAAGTTAACAATTCGTACAGGCAGCGCACAGTTTTCCCTTTTTTTAGTTTAGATTGGCTTGGAGAAATTCCAGTTTAAAATCGCAAGTGCAATCTTAATTGACAGGCTTAAAATCGGGAGTAGTAGCGATAATTTGGACACGATACCAGCAAGTGATATCCTAAGCAGATGTGACCATGCACCACGCATCTATCCACACTATCAGATATGTAAACTAAATAATATTATAATAGGTTCATGGTATCAGGGGTAATTTTTAATTGATTAGTGTCAGTTATTATTAGCTGTTAATTTGAGAAAATTGGGAAGAATAAGTATCATAACAATCGCGTTTTTAGGCTTAGTTGTGCAAATTAAGTAACAAGAAGTTTATGATATTAAATTATATATGACTTGGTTTTGAAATCCTGCTTTTCTATGAGTTACAAATTTGTTTCTTTTATTTTTAACAATAATTCATATAGATGCACGCAATAGTTTACACGATATCAATGATAATAGTACCGTAGTGCGACAGTTATTATCACTTGATATATATATTTATATATATTGGTTATTTAACGATGTAACATAGGAAAGGGAGTTCGGTATAAGGATTAGCACCCTGTACCTGGAGCACACTGGGCATGCAGGGCACTGATTGCAGGAACACGTGAACTCCATACACATGAAATACAACGTGTAGTTGTTTCTTCTATCATTCTAGTTGGTTCACAACCTGTCTAACTGGTTGGTGCCACCCCCGAAATTTTGGCAGCTATTAAACTATATTGACAGCGATTGAAAACACTATGTTTTGGGGTAAAAACGTTGTGCTTTTTGAAATAATTGGTTCATTTTGTATCACGAGTTCATTGCATGGTCATAACTTACAAACTACGTAAGCGCGAATTTACATAAACAAAATTATCACATCACGATAAGACATCCTATTATATACACATTTGAGTTACACTGCTGTGCCAAAAAAATCGTACACGTTCTCTTTAGCCATATAATGGCAATATTGGAGCAGGAAAAATAGTATATGCGTCTGCAGATAAACATGACGGATGACTGGATCATCGCAAGATTGATGTGCAGTAGCAGACTATTCGCTGTGGCGTAAACTTGCACGCAACAATATTATATAACGCCTGTGACAGCCGTAGCACCTAATAATAATGGATAACATTGTCAAATCGGGATTTTAATTAGTGAACGGTTCTTCGATTTCAAAGTTTCATCAATCACAGCGTGCTGCTCTTTGCTGTGCTTGCGAAAAGGAACGTCCTCCATTTCACAATGTCTTCTATGCAGTCTGGTTGCAAAAATCGAAAATGCAGTAAACATTACGCTGTAATTATGGTTGATAAATAACATCAGCAGATACAGCTTCTACTATTATTATAATACTACGCGCCTCTAAAGGGCATTATGAGTACTGTAAGCATACCGACGTTGCGTGACAACACAATACACAATACACAATATTCAATACACAATACACAATACACAATACACAATACACAATACACAATACACAATACACAATACACAATACACAATATACAATACACAATACGCAGCACTGTCATCCAGCGTGGAAACATTGACCCTATAACATAATAATACACGTAGCCATTATAATGTACTCGTTGTTGCTTAATGCTAATGCTTATGCTAATGCTTAGCGCCTAATGCTACTAGTGGAGTCGAACTAATCACGTTTTAGACCTATATAGGTTCTTATTTAATAATTTAGGGTGAAAATGATTGCAATACTCTTTTCAAAATTACTGTAATGTAACTGTAAGTTAAATGATGCACTGGGAATATCTACAGTCAAATAGTGGTATGTGATAAATATTATTTCACTTTTATTCTAAGCTCATGGTCTGAAATGTGCAATAACGAAATTCAAATGTACTAGTTGACAACATCAGCACAATATAGACACCAGCATAACCTAAATAAACTGGAAATTTGCATAAACCTTCAGTAATGTTTCTATTTAGGAGTTTATACGAGAATGAAGCATTCTTGTGCATTTTGAGGTTCAGTAGCACACGCGGAACATAAACAAACCAAATTGGTATGGCATATGCGCACGCTGTTTGTTTGCTTTTCGATCTGCAGTCAGAGAATGGTGGAACCCGAGTCATTAGAATGTCGATCATTAATAAGTATATGTTTTAAATTTGGAGTCTTGCATGACTTCACATGAGCACAGTGCTGGCATAACTTCACTATGGTGACTTGCCTAGTTGCTATGTTAGACTTTCATTACGATGGCCAGCTGAAGACCTCCAAGGAGTGCTGGAGTCATTGAACAGCAGCAGCAATAACAGTACGTATAATATGTTTCAATACCTACAAGGTTAATTGAGTCTATTAAGGGGTGGACACACTAGGCGATTTTTCATGCGATCGAGCCGGCCGACCGAGCCTGGCGGCTCGATCGCATGAAAAATCGCGTAGTGTGTCCAGTGAGTCGCGGTCGATTTTCGAGTCGGCCGGCCGAGTCGCCCGATTCAAACATGTTTGATAATTATTTGAGCCGGCCGGCTGCAATCGCCTAGTGTGCCCGGGTCTGCGATTGAGCGGCCGATTGTACAATTCATCAGCCAATCAGCGTGCTGAAAATCCACAGAGTCGCCCGACTCAGTCGCGTAGTGTGTCCACAGAGTCGCCTGACTCAGTCGCGTAGTGTGTCCACAGAGTCGCCCGACTCAGTCGCGTAGTGTGTCCACAGTCGCCCGACTGAGCCGGCCGGCTTAGCTCGATCCCCGGCGATTGAGCCGGCCGGCTCGATAGCATGAAAAATCACGTAGTGTGTCCACAGCTTTACTAATAGAATAGCGTACATATGCTGCAATTTTGACTATGGTACGTTTCAATACATACAAGTTTAATTAAGTCTATTACTAATAGAATGGCATAGATGCTGCAATTGTGACTATAGTGCGTTTCAATACCTACAAGTTTAATTAAGTCTATTACTAATAGAATGGCGTAGATGCTGCGTGTGGCGTAGAATGGCGTGACTATAGTACGTTTCAATACCTACAAGTTTAATTAAGTCTATTACTAATAGAATGGCGTAGATGCTGCAATTGTGACTGTTGCCCTCAGATATAGGTAACTATTGCCACAACTATGTGTCTATGTCTCCACAGTGAGTGAGTGAGTGAGTGTGTGAGTGACTGAGTGAGTGAGTGAGTGAGTGAGTGTGTGAGTGAGTGAGTGAGTCAGTGAGTGAGTGAGTGAGTGAGTGAGTGAGTGAGTGAGTGTGTGAGTGAGTGAGTGAGTGAGTGAGTGGGTTAATTTGTGGGTGGTTTGTTAAGAGGAAGAGCTTAAAAGCCTATAGTGCAGACTTGCGACTTCGCTGCGACCTGCAATCGCATGCGATCGGTCGCACGCCTCGCCCACAGGCACTTGGAGCGTTTCAATAAAATATAATGCTAAATATATTTATGTGTCAGTGCGCAGCAGCTAGCGTGCGGCAGCCAGCGTGTGTTGCAGATGAGCATTTGGACGGCATTTACAGGAAATTGTCGGCAATAATAGGTGAAAGAGAGTAGAGAAACATTAAGACTTTGGTAGTAAATAGATTTCGTATAAATTTATTTAGCATTATATTTTACTAGCAATGTACCCGTCCTTTGGACGGTGGGAATTCATGAATGAGTGTATTAGTGTTGTAGCTGACCTAATGATGAAGGGCTTCTTTGTAAAGTATGTTTTTGGTCTTCGTGTGCTGTACGCGTGTGAATGAACATTGCCCTGGGTTTGCCTACTTGTGAGAGGGCAACATAGAGCATATGCCATGGTAACCCGACCAGGCTGTGTGACTAACGTCAATACACCTAGGGTATTCTAACCCTAGCAATACCGTTTCTTGGAGCTAATGCCATGGAAGAAAACAGGTGTGGTCAGGCCCAAGCCTATGGTAGTAAAAGTTTATAGTAGTGATGCTCACGGGTGCGGGCATATGCTGTGAATGTAGAGATGCATGGTTTAGCTGAGAAGAAGTACTTTGAAGAAGTAAAATAGAATACAAAAGTTTATTTGATGAGATTTACAGGTGATGGACACTAAATTACAGAACTTTATGGTATACAACGTTGGTAGTGTAGAAAACAGAGTCTAATTTCCCTTGAGTTTGGTTGTGAGTAGTTTCCAGTTGAAGCCTTATCTCAGCGAAAGATTTAGCACTTAAGAAGTCAACGTAAAGTTGGCCATGAGAGAAGACGGGTTTTGGGAGGAAAATCCCCAGCTTCTTGAAAGTTTGACCTTGCGCTTTATTGATGGTGATGCAGTAAGCCAAG